GTCGCCGAGAGCATCTGGGCGATGGAGAGACCACTGTCAGCAGGATATAGAGTTCCCCAAAGAACCATAAAGACGACTTCCAGCATCGCCTCCTAGGGTGCCCCAAGGCCGAGAACGCCCGACAAGGAGAGTCCACAAGCGGGGAGTTTCCTGCTCCAAAGAGCCCATTCAGAATACATTGCCTCTCCAACTCGGTTCTCCGTTTGCCTTTGATTTGCTGGGGGGGGGGGGGGGGGGGGGGGGGGGGGGGGGGGGGGGGGGGGGGCCTTGCGGCGTTGGCTTGTCGTCGGCCCGATTCTGGCACGAGCGACCTGATCCAAGTCCTGGGGAAGCGTTCCGGCGAGGTGTGTTTACATGCGGTAGTTGTACTAGCCGTGATCGCTACAGTTTTTCACGCTGCTGGTTTTGCCGTGGTTTGCGCGCGCGGCGGAGAAGAGTTCGCCGCGCGCTGTGGGCGAGTCGGCAGCCTGGCTTCGCAAGCGTCGGTGGCTTCCGAACATCTGGCCGCCGTCTCGGCAGGCCGTCTGCCCGCCCGGATAGAATCAGGGGTGTTCCAGCTGCGCGGTGGTGAGGGGTGCCCAAGACGCAACCGGCGGGCGGGACTTTGCTGGCCGAGGCCGTTGCCGTCTTGGCCCGCTGCCCTAGGGGGTGAAAACTTACCCGAACACAGAGCTCCCGGCCTTGAAAAACAAAGAATTCAGACCTGCTGGCGGCGGTGATGCGCCTGGCCGGTATGCCGAGGCCGCTGCGAGCCTCGGGGGGCAACCCAGCCTCGCTGAAGTAGAGCAATAGCAGAACGACACCACTCTGCTAAAGAAGGACATTCGATTTATGCTGCTTAAGCCCTCGGAGAGTGGCCGGCAACAGCCCCGCCCATGCGCGATCTGACGCATGCGAATTCTCCCCCACAGAGCCGAGGGCGACCGAACGAGTGCTATGTAGTGTCCTGGGCACTGCTCAGATGTCAGACCTCGTTGCTATCCCCGAGAGGCATGACCTGTTCTATTGTGAATACCTAGAGCAGCCCACGAGCATTATGATGCGTCATCGCTGTGGTACGTTTAATCAGGGCGGCTCACGTGGACTTCGAGGCCAATGCTGCAGGATACCTCCTCACAGCGGACCCAAGCTGCAGCTGCAGCGTGTGAGATCTGGCCGACATCCCAAGAGTGCCGCCCATAGCCCGACTGTGCTGAGTCTCGCTCCCGTCTCCCTGGCCCAGCTCGTGAGCGAAGCCCTTGCAGTATCTCAAGCTACCAGGGGGGCGACGGCTAGCCCCAAAGGGATACTTTTGTGACCCCACTCACCCTTGGCAGGTCCCCGTGGGACGACCTGGCTCCGTGTGGGGGACCATCGGTTCCACATGTGATGCGTTTGTTCCTCCACGTTTGGCACGGACGTTCGCGTTGTGTGTTGTGCGTGTCGCGCGCGCATCAGGCACCCCTGTTGCCGCACCCTTTCGGAGCTTCGATGCTCAGGGGGAAGGGAGCGCACGCGCCTTTGCATGCGCGCGCCTTTGCCATTGTTCTGCTGCCCCCTGGCGGAGCTTTCAGCTGCACGCAGAGGTCTCATGCAGCCAGAAACAAACTCCTGGAGCCAAAGGTCTCGGGTTACGGTCGGGTCGGCCAGCCCCAGGCATTCAACCATCAACAACGTGCTTCTCTTCCTCTTTTCCTTCTCCGGTGACCGCGGGTCTCGCCCGCCCAGAGCAAAATGATCGGGAGCCGGTGCGTCTCCTCAACGCTTTGTGCCAGCCACCCCAGGACGGCCGTTAACACGCAGCAGGCGAACCAGTCATCGATAGGAGGGAGGCCTGACGGGGCTAGGACGAGGATGACATCCGTTCCAGAGCGTTCCGGGACGCTTTCAGAGTGCTCTGGAACGCTCTGAAGAGGCCGCGGCGCCCGAGACGTCCTCCACAGCAGCCGGTTCTCAGAGATTCCCGATGTCTCTTCACCCGACTATATCTTCGTCCTGGCTTCGTCTGAATCTATAGGGGGGAGTGACCCGCCGGCCGGGGCATATACCCAAATCCCCGGCGTCATGACTGTTTCCATCGCGTCGACCCCCAAAGGTCTCGACCCATTCCCCGGGATTGGTTTTGCATCCTGTGTCGTTTTTTGACGGTCCCGAGGGCTGGCGAGGGCCCTCCGAGGCCGAAAATAACGAAAAACCTTGAGCCGCGATTTTTTCACGACGCGAGGGGGTCTGGTTAATTACAGTGCTTGGGACCACGGCGGCGCGCGAGACGGCGCAGGACACCATCGGGGGGGCCCGCCGCCCGCGCGCCTGGCGCGCCTCTCGCCGCCGCCCGCGCGCTCCTCACCGCAGCCCAGCGCCGGCGCGCCCCAGACAGGCGCCCCGCCTCCCAGCCGGCAGCCAGCCGTCAGCGCCAGCACAGGCCATCGATGACGACGACGACGACGATGACGACGACAATGACCATGTTTGGTGAATGCTGAGCGCACTCGTCGTCGTCATCGCCATCGCCATCGCCATTGCCGCGCGCTGCGCGCCAGGCGCCAGCCCCGGTGCACGGCCCGCCAGCGCCGCAGCCTGGCGAAGCGCCGCCGTGGGCAGCCGCCTGGCAGCCCTCGCGCCCCGGCGCGGCCCGGCGGCGCGCCAGAGCTGGCGCGCCACCCGTCTCTGCAGCGCTCGGCTGAGAGTTTTGCAGGCGCAGGGAAGCCCGCGCGCCTGCGCGAAGAGCCCTGGCGCGGCGCCCATGCCGCCCGAGGCCTCTCCGCCGCAGACGGACAGCCTTCTGCAGCCACCGCCGACTGCGCGGCCCACGCTGTGCAAGTTCGGGTGGGCATGCTCGCGGCAGGAGTGCGTGTTCGTCCTTCCTCGTGGTCGGGCGCTCGATGGTAAGCCGCTGGACCACAGAGTTTGACGGCATCATCCTTGCCGATGCCGCCGATGACATCCTCAGTGGAATACACAAGCGATGGACGCCACGATCGACGTTCCGCCCGAGCCCGAGATCGACGAACGCCTGCTTCTGCTCGGAGAGCCAGCCGAGTACTTCTTGATGTTCATCGTCGCGGGGATCCCCGCGGTGCGCTTCTGCATCATCTTCCCCACCCCTGGGTCTATTTATGGGGATTCCACCTTCCCCCGTTCTCAAGCGGGGCGCGGATCCGCCGTGGCCATGACACCAGACTTTCCTGTGCACGCTCCGCCTCCTCCTCCTCCTCTCGTCCTCTGCCCCCTCCTCCTGCGACGACTGCGAAGACTCCCCGAGGTCTGGGAGGACGCTGCACCGGCGTGGGGGGCTCCTTCCAGCAATGGGGCGGGGACAGAAAGAAGTAGCTCCGACGCACTTGCTCGCGCCGTTCATCCTGGCTGCGCCTCGCTCGTCGGTTGTTCGGTCCGACGAGCCACCAGGCTGATTCGGGAGGGGAAAAAACACACAGACACAATGAATCGTCCATTCCCCAGAAACTATTGGAAAATATGGGAAGTGGGGGGGAAGACAAAAACCCAGAAAATATGGGAAAATATGGGGAATCATTTTATTTGTGTGTATTTATTTGTGTGTCCTGGGGCCCCTTCACTGATGCCGTCGTCGTCGGCGTCGGCGGCGACGGCGTCGTCGGCGTCGGCGGTGCGCGGGCCCGAACGAGGCGGGGGCACGCGAGCTGGGCCGTCTGCCCCGCGCGCGGCACGGTGGTCGCGATCGGGAGGGTGACCTCTTTGGAGTCGGAGCGCTCGTTCCCCTTGCCCCCCTCCTCCCTCCTCCCTCCTCCCTCCTCCCTCCCCCCTCTCCCTCCTCCCTCCTCCCTCCTCCCTCCACCTCCTCCTCCTCCTCCTCCTCCTCCTCCTCCTAACCTCCTCCTCCTCCTCCTCCTCTCTCCTCCTCCACCCTCCTCCTCCTCCTCCTCCTCCTCCCCCGCTGTTTTGCTGGCCCCTCGAGGCTCGAGGAGGGGTGCCGAATCCCCTCCAGAGTGACAAGCCTTCCAGGGCGACAAGGCGTCCCCCTGCGATGGGGGTGCGCCCAGCGGTCTGTCATGGCCAGGGACCTGTGACCTCTCCGCCCTCCTTGCCCTTCTGGGTGTCCACTCCTCCTCCTCCTCCTCCTCCTCCCCCTCCTCCTCCTCCTCCCCCTCCTCCTCCTCCTCCTTTCCTCATCCTCCTCCTCCTCTCCTACCTCCTCATCCTTCTCATCCTCCTCCTCCTCCTCTCTACCTCCTCATCTTTCCTCCTTCCTTCCTCCTTCCTTCCTTCCTTCCTTCCTTCCTTCCTTTTTTCCTTTCTTTCTGCCTTCATTCATTCCTTCCCTCCCCGCCCTCTCCCCGGAGGGGCCTCCTCTCTAGACCTCCCAGGTGGGGTCCGAGTAGATGGGGTCGGAGGGTCGCGCCGCATCGGCGATGCATCGGTGAGTCGGCTCGATGGGGAGCCCGACTTTCTCCACGCCGACGGCGCCGATACATGCCAACGTCGCCGATGCATCGCCGATGCGTCGCCGATGTGTCAGCGACGCGGCGAGATCCTCCGACCCCATTTACTCGGACCCCATCTAGGAGGCCTCTATCCTCCGCCTCCCTTCTTCCTCCTCCCTCTCGTCCTTCTCCTCCTCCTCCTCCTCCTCCTTCTCCTCCTCCACCTCTTGCGCTGCAGTGGTTCTGATCGGATGAAGATCGCATCGTGTGCCTCCTCCTCCTCCTCCTCCTCCTCATCCTCCTCCTCCTCCTCCTCCTCCTCCTCCTCCTCCTCCTCCTCCTCCCTCCTCCTCCTCCTCCTCCTCCTCCTCCTCCGCCCCCCCCTCCTCCTCCGCCTTCTACCCCTCCTCCTCCTTTCGCTTCGCGAATTGACCATTCCCATTCCCATTCTCCCTCCTCCTCCTCCTCCTCCTCCTCTCTCTCCTCCTCTACCCCCTCCTCCCCTTCTCCTCCTCCTTTTTGAAGTTGGGGCAAACCTGAGGGCCCCTCCTCTCCTCCTCCTCCTCCTCCTCCTCCTCCTCCTCCTCCTCCTCCTCCCTCCCTCCCCCCCCCCCCCGGGAGGGGCCTTGAGTGCTCGGGCGACCGCTTCGACGACTTCCTGGTGCTCGCGGGGCAGCGCATCTCCCACGGCACGGTGGCGGAGCCGCCGCGCGTTGTTCCGCCTGCCTTTTGGCGCGGCCGGCCGGCAGGCCGACGTCGCCCGGTTGCTCGCAAAATCACAGAAGGACAGTGGCCAGTGGCCTGTGGCCAAAAGCCAGCGGCCTGTGACCAACGAGAGAGAGACAGAGATAGAGAGAGAGAGAAATAGAGAGAGAGAGAGAGAGAGAGAAAAAAAAAAAATATATATATATATATATAAAGAGAGAGAGAGAGAGAGAGAGCCTTCGGGGGATGGCCTCCCAGGCCCCCCCCCCCGCGTCGTGAAAAAGCACGATGGGAGGCGTTTCATGATTTTCGGCCTCCGGGGGCCACTGCCGGGCCTCGGGACCACCAAACATCGGCTCAGGATGAAAAGCCGGCCCCAGGGAAGTGGTCCCGACCTCTGGGGGCCGCCGTTTGTGAGCAAATCACGACGTCGGGGGTCCGGGCTTGTCGCCGCGGCTGGACGCAGCTTGGAAAAATTGGTACGCTCGAGCCCCAGGAGGGGGCCCGGCACCGAGTTTGAGGCGCCGTTCCTTCAGCTCTCCCTGCTTCGGCAAGAGTGGCCCTTTGCCAGAGGGACCTCTGCTGCGGGCCCGCGCGAGGCCCCCCCCCCAGCGCTGGCCGGCGCGCTTGGACTTGCCCTCCCCCCTCCCCCCTGCCCTCCCTTGAACGAAGGATTACAAAAACGAAGGATTGCAAAGAAACATTTTTGTTTGCAATCCTTTTTTGCAATCCTTTTTTGCAATCCTTCTTTTTTTCAATCCTTTTTTTTGCTACCACTGTGGAGGACGATCAATGGAGAGGGAGCATGTTGCCAAATAGTTTCCAGATGTCCAGAGCATGTGTGAAACATGGTTTTACAAAGGGGCGGAACAGACTTTTAACGTTTCCAGGACATGTTTCGTACAGTTTAAACACATGCTCAGTTCGATGATGGGACTGTTAGGGTGTCCATTGCCGTTGCATCCACAACTCTACCACGCCCGTGGACCGAAACAATCAACGGTGGCGCACGTGAGCACAAGACAGCACGAACTGGAGACGTTAAGAGGCAACATTTTTACAGCACGCATCGACTACACGTGAGGGCGTCCCGTCGCAGGAAAGCCCTTTGGTGCGGGCCCCCCCCGATCGTCGAGCGCGATGCGGCAGCAGCGTCTTGCGCGCTGGTCAAACAGAGCCGCGCACGAGAGGCCACTCTCAGCTGCCCATGGTCGCTCCTGCGTGTAGCCGACGGCGCAGCACACCGCACCAACGGCAACGGACATCCACCGCTGCAACGGACGCCTCCGGCCCGCCCGGAAGATCCTGAGGGCTGGCTGGCCCTCGTCTGCATTGACCCCCGTCTCTTAACAAAGCGGTCCTGGGGAAGGGGTCGAGACCTTTGGGGGCGGCGTTATGGGAAATCATGACGTCGGTGGTCCGGGGGAGGAGGAGGAGCAGGAGCAGGAGCAGGAGCAGGAGGAGGAGGAGGCTCTCCCCGCCCGTGGCCACCCAAAGCTGCTCGCCGGAGGTCGCCCCATGCCTGCGTACCCCCATCGAAACCGCCGTCGCCTTCGTTTCTCGCTGGTGTCTGCTGCGTCTCCAGCAGGTCCGCCCCGGACCTGTGGCGGAGGCCTGGCTCTTGTCCTGTTCAGGAGCTTGTTTTTTTTTGGGGGATCCTGGCAACTTGACTTGCATGGCGTTCGCCCCCCCCCCCCCCCCCCCCTCGCCCCTCTTCAAGCGAATACCAGCGTGCAAGTGCCTTGCGACTTTCGTGATTTCCGCGCCCCCCCGAATGTGGGCTTCACCTGGCCTCCGGGGGCCGGCTAAACGTGCCCCAGGGCTACCAAACACGTATTAGGGGCGAGCATCGCGTTCGTACACCTTAGGCGATGCTTAAGAAAACCTAAGTTTTCTGCCAGAGTCTCGATTATTCTTAATGTTGCAATGTGAATCCTAAGATTTGAATAGACATTCTGGGTTTTTTCTCCAAATTCTGAGACTATGAATTTCTTAACCCATGATTTCTTAAGCATTTCGCAGGGTGTAGGGAGAGTGTCCCTGAGTCCTGGGGCCCGGACGCTGGCGAAGAAGAGCTCATCGAAAGTAGCCTGGGTCATTGCCACGGCTTGGTGCGGCTCACAAAAATGGCCCATGGTGGACCCCGGGAGGGGTCCGGGATCTGGGGATTGGTTCTTGGAGCGGGTTGCGGCGGAGGAGCGGTGATCGCGGATCGTGGCTTTATCGGCCAAGCTTGGGGGGGCGACGATGAGCTGCTCCTTCCTGTGCCCTGGCTGCTGCGTTTCAGGGCCGCTCGTCAGGAGCTTGAAACGTGCCTGCTGCTGTCTGCATGCTGCCACTCACGCGCGGGGCCTTCTGGGACTCAAGCAAACAGCCAGGCCCTTGTGAGGCCCCAGTCTGTCCCCCCGTCGTGATCATCGCAAGTCTCTTCGGGCAGATGAGAGGGATGAAGCTATAATGGAGGTCGCTATCAGCTTTCAGCGCCTGGGGGCCGTAACGAAAACAACCCAGGATAAACGGCCGGCTCCAAGGAAGGGGTCGGGAGGTACGGGGCCGAGGGGTAATCGTCGCGGCGTCGGAAGCCCAGGGCTGAGGGTTGAGGATCGATAGTCATCGAAGACGCCTACGGCGAATCACCGCCGCCCCCTGCCTTTTTGGAAATGCCTATGTGGCCGAACGTTGTGGCCAGAGGCCTGCCAAGCTATCGGACCATGTGTTCCCCGAATCGGTTTGGAACGCGTTCGGGGAACACGGTGGGGGAGGAGGAAGGAAAGGAGAGGGAGGAGGAAGGAGAAGGGAGGAGGAGGCCTCTTTGGAGCCTCTTGGGCTTCTCTAAGTTTTATTGGGCCATCTTTGCGGTCTTGGAGGCATCTTGGGACTGTTTTGGAGCCTTTTGAGGGCCTCTTGGGGCCTTTTTGGGACTTCTCGGGGACCAGCTGTCTTGGGGGCCTCTCTGAAACAGCTTGGGGCCCTCTTGGGGCGCTTCGGAGCCGTCTTGGAGGCCATCTTGGGCGTCTTGGAGGCCTCTTGGCCCGTCTTGGGGCCCTCTTAGGGGCCGTCTTGTGGGACTTTTGGGCCGTCATGGGGCCATCTTGGAGGCCTCGTGGGCGATCTTGGGGCAATCGTGGGGGCCTCTTGGGCCGTCTTGAGCCGTCGGAATGCCGAGAAGAGGCAAATGCCCAAACCCTTCAAAAACCAAACGACAATCAATGATTTGGGCCTCTTTGGGCCCTCCGGGAGGACCTCTTGGAGCCCTGTTGGGCCGTCTTGGGCCGTCTTGGAGGCTTCTTGGGTGAACTTGGAGGTATCTTGGACCCTCGTGGGCCGTTTTGGAGGCCATCTTGGACCATCGACTTGGAGGCCATCTTGGACCATCTTGGAGGCCATCTTGGGCCGACGTGGCCATCTTGGACCGTCTTGGAGGATTTTTTCCGGGAATTGAGTTCCTTGAAAATCGTCCCAGGACCCCGGCGGGACGCGCCAGAACCCCAGGGGGAGTTCTTTGGGAAAAGAACCAAAACCAAAACCGAAAGGGTGCAGCACGCCAGACACCCCTGTGATGAATCAACAGGGGGCGGCGGATCGAAGACGCCTACGGCGAATCACCGCCGCCCCCTGCCTTTGTGGAAGCGCCTATGTGGCCGAACGTTGAGGCCAGACCTGCCAAGCTATCGGACCATGTGTTCCCCGAATCGGTTTGGAAAGCCTTCGGGGAACACGTGGGCATCTTGAAGGTCATCTTGGCCGCCTGGAGGCCATTTTGACTCTTTCGGGCCTTCTTGGAGGACGTCTTGGAGGGCTCGTGGGCCGTCTTGGAGGCCATCTTGAGCGTCTTGGAGGCCTCTTGGGCCGTCTTGGGGGCCTCTTGGGGCCGTCTTGTGCGCCTCTTGGGCCGCTCTGGGGCCATCTTGGAGGCCTCTTGGGCGATCCTTGGGCGATCTTTGGGAGCTCTTGGGCCGTATCGGGCCGTCGGAAGGCCGAAACGAAGCAAATGTCAAATCCTTCAAAAACCTCAGGAAAATCACTCTTTGTTGGCCTTTTCTAGCCCTCCTGGAGGCCCTCTTGGAGGCCTCTTGGGCCGTCTTGGGCCAGCTGCGAGCCACTTTCGGCCATCTTGGTGGGCTCCTGGCCAGTCTGACGCCGTCGGAAGCCGTTTCGGGGGCCTTTCTGGGCCGACTTGGGGCCCTCTGGGGGTGCTCCAGGGCCGTCTTAGAGGCCATCTTGGGCGTCTTCGAGGCCTCTTGAGCCGTCTCGGCGCCCTCTTGGGGCCGTCTTGGTGGCCTCTTGGGCCGTCATGGGGCTATCTTGGAAGCCTCTTGGGCGATCTTGGGGCGACCTTTGGAGCCTCTTGGGCCGTCTTGGGCCGTCGCAAAGCCGAAAATGCGCAAATGCCAAAATCCTTTAAAAACCAAAGGAAAATCAATGATTTTGGCCTCTTCGGGCCTTCGGGAGGACCTCTTGGAGGCCTCTTGGGCCGTCTTGGAGGCCTCTTGGGAGCCTCTTGGGCCGTTTTGGGCCATCTTGAGGCCATCGTAGGCCGTCTTGAGTGCATCTTGGGCCATCTTGGAGGCATCTTGGGGCCATCTTAGCCGTCTTGGAGGCCATCTTGGCCGTCTTGGAGGCCATCTTAGGCCATCATGGAGCCGTCTGGAACGGAAAAACCCTTTGCAAGCACCTCTGGAAGATCTTTCGGCATCCTCCCAGGACCCCGGCGGGACGCGCCGGAGCCCACCGGGAGAGTTCTTTTGGACAAGAACCAAAATCAAAATCGTAAGAAGTTCACACGCCAGGCACCCCTGCGATGAATCAACAGGGGGCGGCAGATCCAGGTGCATGCGGCAAGTCCCGCCACCGTGCCAGCCGGGCATTCTGGGAGTCGACTATTCGAGGAGGCACGGGAGACCGTCACGTGTAACACTTCGTGTCTCCATGCTTGGGATAGCCGTGATGATTATGATGAGGTTGATGGGGGTGATGACGATGACGACGACGACGACGACGGCGGCGATGACGACGACGACGACGACGACGACGGTGCCGACGATGATGATGATGATGACGATGACGATGGCGATAACGATGAGATGACGATGACGACGACGCCGATGACAATGATGATGATGGTGATGATTGTGTTGGTGATGATGATGCAGATGATGATGCAGATGATGATGCAGATGATGATGATGCTGATGATGATGATGATGACCATGATGATGGTAATGGTGATGGTGATGGTGATGGTGATGAAGATGAAGATGAAGATGAAGATGAAGATGAAGATTATGGTGATGATGGTGATGGTGATGGTGATGGTGATGATGATGATGGTGATGATGGTGGTGATAGTGATGGTGATGATGACGCCGGTTATGGAGATGATGAGGGAGATGATGATAACGATGACGACAATGATGATGTTGATGCTGATGGTGATGATGATGATGGCCATGGGGGTGATGGTGCTAATGACGAAGATGACGATTGCGATGACAATGACGTTGATTTTGAGCACGATTGAGCTGCCGGTAATGATGATCATGATGATGCTGTTGTTGATGGTGATGATGTTGATGTTGAGGATGTTGGTGCAGATGATGCTGATGCTGTTGATGCCGATGGTGATTCTGAGCATGATAATGTTGCTGATGATGATACTGATAATGATGACAAGTATGATGATGACGATGGTGATAATGATGATGATGATAATGATGGTGCTGATGATGATGACGATGATGATGCTGATGATAACAATCATGATTGTGGTGATGATGATGACGATGATGATGATGCTGATGGTGATGATGATGATGATGATGATGATGATGGTGAGTGACTTTGATGCTGATCATACTCATGATAATGATGATGGATCATGCTTGGGCCGTCTTGAGGCTTCTCTGGCCTCCTGTGAAGCAGTATTGGGGGTCCCTTATGGGGCCCTCTTGGGCTGTCTTGTGGCCTTCTTACTCGGGCTGAAGGTTCTCTTGGGCTGTCTTGGGGCCCTTTTGGCCGTATGTTTGGTGTCTTGGGGCCGTCTCGGCGCGGCCGTCGAACAGCCTTCTAAGGCCGTCTTGGGTCCCACGGGAGGCCTTCTGGGAGCGTCTTTGATGCTTCTTGGGCCATCGTGGGGTCTCTTGGGCCGTCTTGGGCTGAGCGCATGCCGAAAAGGCAAGAATGCGAACATCAGACCCAGACCTTGAATGAATCACTGATTTGGGCTTCTTCTGACCCTGTTGGAGGTCTTCTTGTGGCCACGTTGGGTTATCTAGGAGGCATATTGTGCCGTTTCGAATGAATATTCGGCCGCCTTGGGCCAATCTCTGGCCGTCCTCGAGGCATCTTGGAACATCTTGGTGTCCTTGCTTGCCCGCACGGGCCGTCTTGCATGCTCGGGGCGCAGGTCCATCATCTTGAAAGGCGGGTCGTGACCTGGGAGACCTTGGAGCGTTTGGGAGCAGCGCCTGGGAATGCGGGAAGTGCACCACCCTCGAGCGGGCACGCGTGGAATGGGGGATTAGGCTTCAGCTGCCATGCTGGAAGTGCGTCATCCTCGATCGGAATGGGGAGGCTATGCACGCAGGAATCTGCTGGTAGAGGGAGGGGGACGGTCCTTGCTAGAATGCAGAAAAACCCTACCAGACAGACCTTGGCAGTCTTCCACGCCTCAACGTGCCAGGGGGCACGGTGGCGGATTTGTTTTCATCGTTTCCTCCAGAGAGGTCCAGGGGGCCTTCGAAGGCCTTCCTTGATGATCCACTTATCATGAAGCCCCACCTCTTGCGTGTCTCCTGGGCCTCCATCTCCGTTTCTAAGTCTCCACCTTAACCGTCGTATCATAATTACTTTCCTTTTTATCCGTCGTTCCCCAATCAGTGCTTGCACTGAATGGGTTCTAGCGGAGGTTGAAACATGGAAGATTTGGCGAAAGTTCCCGGCCGATTTCGGTGGGCGGTTGGGTTCCTTCCTGGTTCCCGGTTGCTTGTTCCTGGCCGATTTCGGTGGGCGGCGGGGTTCCCGGGTTTCCGAATTCCCCGGTTCCTGGTCCATCTCCTCATCGATCTTTGTATCGGTCCCACGATCGAATTCACTGTCGATCTCATGATCGATCTCACGTCCATCTCACCCAATCGATTTCACTACCGGTCTCACCCTTTTTGCTTAGCCACGGGACGACTTTTCGTGCGTTAGGAAAGTGCATGGGCTTGCGGACTGCGGACTGCGGACTGGAGGGTGCACTGCAGCACCCCTGAAAAGTGTTCCTTTTTGCTAGGTTCCTCGTCCTCTTCCTGGTCCTCTCCTTCTCTCCCCCCCTTGAGGAGGAGAGGGAGGAAGAACAGGGGGCATGCGACCGCCTGAGGCGCGCGAATGAAGGAAGACTGATAAAGAGGAGGAGGAGGAGGAGGAGGAGGAGGAGGAGGAGGAGGAGGAGGAGGAGGATAAGGAGGACCGGGGAAACGTACGACTCGTGTGCGCCGGAACTCGGGTTTGCCGACGCTTTTTTGACGAGCGCGTCCAGGATTTGGACGGTCCAGTTTTGGTGGAATGTCTGCAGCGGGAATTCGAATCAAAATTCAGATTGGATCTTGTCGCTTCCATGGTGGCCCCGTCAGGCCAACCCGAGTCCGCCGAACCAGAGTCTCACGTCTCCCCGAGTGGAGGAGCAGAGGCAGCAGCACGAGGAGGAGAAAAATCAACATAGTCGGCCCAGCACTAGTGGTTCCTGCACGCCGTTGGTGCAGGCGGGCACGTGTTCCTCCTCTGCCTCGTTTCTGCTCCTCCCCGTTCTGCTCCCCTCTCCTTGATGATCGAGCTCATTGGGCCTCTCCTTTCTTCCGTGCGATTCTTCTGTCGCTTTGCACTTCGCCCAACCAGTCCTGTTCCCCTCTCAAGTGTATGCCCCTTTGGCTTCCGTCCCACCTGTGCCCCCCCCCCGCCCCCGAGGAGGCCGTCCCTCTGGACCTCGGCCACTGGTGTATAGGCTCCGCCACCCCCCCCCCCCAAGTCACTGGCCCGCAGTCCCAGCCCAGGGCCAGTGGGCGGCAGGCCCGCAGAACACCTCCGCCGGCCAGGGCTGTGGAGCGACTCGCAGACCACAGCTCGCCTCCGACTCTCCAGGATGTCTGGGCTTCTTGGCCTCCGGCGGCCGCCCCACTCCTCGCCCCCCCCCCTGGAGCTGACGGAAACTGTGGCCGGCCGCTGGCCATGCCAGAAATCGATCCGAGGGTGAAAAAAAGGGGTCTGCAACAGGGGGTCTTCCATGGGGGCTGAATGGCCCATGTCTGCTCAATGCATCGCTCATGTATGTGATCGGGTATGGTTGGCATCCAATGATGGCGGTCATGGAGGGCCAGTCGTTCGTGCCCGCGCGTTGCCCGCGCGGGCAAACGCGCCGTACATCCATTATCGTTCATGCGTGCGGGCGTTCTTGCATATCGCGCGTGGGGTGGCGAAATGGAATGCAAATGTGTCTTGATTGTGCGATTGATGATCGAGTATGTTCCCAAACGATGAGTTGTTGACACCCAAGACAGATTTGGAATGGGTCTCGCGGTCCTCCCACAATGTGAATTCACCTTTTCCTTTTTTTTTTCTCCGAAATGTAAATTCACACGTTCACTTCCCCCAAAATGTGAATTCACATTCTGGCCCCGTCATAAAGATTATCATGCGAAGTTCCAAAATGTGAATTCACATATTTCCCAAATGTAATTTCGCAGTTGTTTTTCCTTTCTGTGTGAATTTACATGTTGCGTTTCCCCACAATGTGAATTCAACTTTTGCCCTGGCCGTCAATATCCCCAAAGCTGAGGCGCAGTGTTCAACATGTCAGATTGGTTGGGCAGATTTTGACACCCACCTCACCGCTATCGTGCATTACAAGCTTTTCTTCTGGCGCCCTCAGCGCACGTTGCCTTCAATGCCTTTTCCCGAGCCCCCCGCCCCCTTGCTTCGTTTAACCGAGTGCGGGCGTTAATACAAAAACCCTACTCACCCCTCCTATTTTATTCGTCCCGTTTACCAGGAATTACGTAATTGTGGAAATGGGCGCGGCGGCCAGAATGTTTAATAGACTTGGGAAGTTGCGAATCGAAGTTGCTATCATCTCATGTTGACCAGCAACAGCATCAAAAACGCTGAGCATGGCCATGGTGGTCGCACCACATCAGCTTCCGCAGTCACGAGCGTGTGGCAGGGCTGTAGGATTCTGACCAGTTCACTCTGCCCAATTTACGAACGTGCGGCAGGGCCATGGGGTTCTCACTTTCTCAGCCGTTCCCGAGTCAGGAACGTGTGGCAGGGCCATGGGGACCGATTGGATTTTGATTGTACATGCGTGGGTGCAGGCGGGGAACTTCAATTGGTCCCCCCGCCGAGCACAGCAATTGAGAATGTATCGCCCATGCGTGGCCCATGAGACACCATTGCCGGGACCCTGCGCCCGACCCCCATTTTGACGGAGGCCACGACACGAAGACGTTGCCCGTGGCGCGTTCGTCTCGACGCGACCAACCGCTGGCCATCCTACATCCTCCGCCATCCCCGATGAAGAAACATGGGCACGCCGCCGACCAGGGGGCCCTCGGGCCTTCGCGGGGAAGGCCTGCACGACGGTTTTGGCCAGTTCCGCCTTCACCGTGACGGTTTTGCCAATTATTCCGCGTTTCCCAGCGTTGGTCGCCTTCTTTTGGCGGGCTTGGATCATGACAGCACCGGGAATGACGAATTTGCTGTTGCCCTTTGCCTCTTGTGTTGCAATGCCCGCAAAAGTGCACCAAATCCGTGCTGATAACACCGCTCTACGCGAGCGCTGCGGTGAGGGCGCTGTTGGTCATGACCGTGTCTTCTGCGGTCTCCTCTTGCTCTGCTGCCGCCGCATCCTCCTCCTCCTCCTCCTCCTCCTCCTCCTTTTCCTCCTCCTCCTCTTTGTCCTCCTCCTCCTCCTCCTCCTTCTCCTCCTCCTGTTCTTCTGGTGCCAACACCCTCCGGCCGATTCTGGTGCCAACACCTTCGCCCGGTAGCAAATCATGGGGACCGCGTGTGTCTTCGCAACTCAGCCTTTACAGGGCGCGCGTTAGCATATGGTAATCAATGGGGAAGCGTCGACTCGCATCGACCATCGTCTATTGACGTCGGCCGGCGTCGATTCGTAAGAACCAGCAAATGGCATGGGAGCCTCCCGTGAGTTGCCGCAGAAGGTTGGTCAGCGTGTCACGCCGCCAGCTCTGGCCCGCCACGCGTCGGCGCGACACCCGAAGCACGTCTCAATCTTCAAACGATGACGCTCCGAGCTTTTCCCAACCTCCCGCCCCACGGAGTACAGCATGCAGGGCCCACCGTGTCGCAGGGGCACCCGCCGTGACACGCTCGGCAGGAACCCCTCGCCGCAGCCCGGTTCCCTCGGCCTTCCCCGCCCTTGCATCGGAACGTGAGTTCTGAGCATGCCTCGCCAAAGCTCTCGGGCCTGAATTTTGGAATCAGCGGTCGGTCTCGAGCGCGGGCGGGGACGTCCCCCATCATACGCAGACGTCTGGCGTTGCTCCTGTGGCTCGTCCCAGTGCAGTTTCCTATCCAGGGTCATCTTTGTGTTGTCGGGACGGCGGGTTTCTCACGCGGAAAAGTTTGCCCGAGGTGCGGTAGCATCTAATACGCATTCTGCACGTAAGCATGTGGCGCGTGTTTCTCACGTGTGGCCGCCCAAAGTGGGTATCCAACATAGGGTCGTCCGATTCCTAATGCGTCGAAGCACGTGCGCGGAAGGGGAGTATACAACGTAGAGGTGTGGCGCTTGCGCATCGGGAACGAGTATTCATGTGTGTGCGGGCGCCAGAGGGGTACCCAACATGTGGGCGTCGGATTCCCCACGCGTAGAATTTCGCGCACGAGGAGCTTCTCCAACATGCGAGGGGCCCGTGTGGCATTTGGAACGCGTTCTTTCATGTGGTAGGCGCCAGCGGAAGGGTGTCCAACCTTGGGGCGCCGGCTTATTTGATCATCCAACATGCGTTTTGCGCATGCGCATTTGGCATATTTCTTGTCACGTTTGTGTGTGTGCGTGTGGCGAAAGTGGGTATGCAGCAAGGCGATCTCAGATTTATTCACATGTTCAAATACGTACGCGGAAGGGGGCACCCGGCATGAACATGCGTGTTGCGCGCGCAGAGCACGCTGTGTCCTTCTGTGGGCGCCTCAGCTGGAGATATCCGACATGGGGCGCCAGATTCTGCATGCGTGCAAAAACGTGTGAGGAGGTGCGATCTCCAACATGCGTGCGGCGCGTGCAGGATTCGGCGCGTGTTTTTTGTTCGTGCGTATGGGCGCCATTCCTTTCGCGTGAGGGCGTCAAAGGGGGGTCTCCAACATGGGGGCGTCGGATTCCTCACGCGACGCGATCGTTCACGGAGGGGAATATCGACGTGGCACGCATGCGTTCGTCACGCGTTTGCTTGCGCGTGTGGGCGCCAGGGGTGGTCCAACATGCGGACGCCAGATACTTCTCACGTGAAGCTAAGCATACTTCACACGTAAATTGCGCGTGCGGAGGGGAGTATCCAACATGAGTGGGGCGGGTTCGCAATTGGCACGTGCTTTCGTATGTGTGCGCGTGCGCGTGGGCGTCAGGGGGGCGGTCATCCAATATGGAGGCTTCGGATTCTTCACCCTCAGAAATACGTAGCACCCCGCAATTGCGGATAAGAGTGAGGAGGCTGGCGCGGGCGACGCGGGCGTCGAGCCGGCGGACCTCGTGGCCCTCACCTTCCCTGTCGATGGCGCCCTCCTCCTCCTCCGCCTTCTCCTCCTCCTCCTACTCCTCCTGCTCCTCCTCCTCCTCCTCTTCCTCGTCCGCGTCATCGTCCTCATCGTCCTCGTCGTCGTCGTCCGCCTCCTCCTCCACCTCCTCCTCCTCTTCCTCCTTTTCTTCCTCCTCCTCCTCATTCTCCTCTTCCTCCCCTATCCCGATCCTCCCCCCTCCTCCTTTCCGTCGTCGTCGTCCTCCACAATTACTCAATATGAAAAATACTCTCCCTCTTCCCCTGATGGCGTCCGGGTGATGGCCGCGCACCCTCCGCGTACTGTTTTTTACACAGGATTCCCGGGAAATCCCGGGAAACGACTCTCGCTGAGGCGCCGGCGTCATTTTCCCAAAATGCTGCTCTCGTTGATGCGCCGGCTTCATTTCTGCTCCCGAATCGTTCCGAATCGTGCTCCCGCTGCAGCTTGGGCCTCATTTTCGGATCGGTGTTTGGCCTCCGTCGTTCAGGATGGCGTTCTCGCCCCAGCGCGGGCCTTTTTCTCGCGCGCCCATCCGCCCGCCACCACCGCGCCGCACCGCCACCACCACCACCACCACCACCACACCACCACCACCAGCACCACCACCACCACACCACCACCACCACCACCACCACCACCACCACCACCACCACCACCACGACAACCACGCACACACGCACGCACGCACGCACGTGCACCACCACCCACTACGCACGCGCGCGCGGAGCCACAGGTCCGCTACGACACGCGTCCGCGGATAGAGAAAATCAGCGCCATGGTAAGGGATGGGAGGGAGGGGTAGGACGTCAGATATGACGCGAGCGCACCTAGCTTGTCCTCCTCCTCCTCCCCCTCCTCCTCCCTTCTTTCTCGTCGCCCCCCTCCGTCCCCCCCTCCTTTTCCTCCTCGCCCTCGTCGTCGGCCTCCTCTTCGTCCTCGTACTCGTCGTTGTCGTCGTCGTCTTCGTCGTATTCCTCCTCCTGCTCCTCGCCCTGCTCCTCCTCCCCTCCTCCGCGGAGCGCGCACGCGCGCCGGGTGGGTGGGTCGTGGGCTTGTTCAGTGAACGTAGTTTGGGTCGCGGGTGGGTCGCGAGCTCTCCACCTCCACCTGGAAGGAATTCAGAAGCAGCCCGCCGCAGGCGCCGAAAATTTTGATTTGTACACTGAACGCGGTTTGGGTTGCGGGTGTGTCGCAGGTTCTCCATTT